ATCTAAATAAAATTTACATCTATAAATCTATTGAATTTTTCCCCTTTTGTGGATTTTATATTATTTTGGAAACAAATTTGATTTAGATTACATAAATAGATTCCATTTTTATTAAAATTGCAGAAATAAAGTTTGTATGTGGTGATTCTCAATGATATTTTTAGTTACATAAACAAAGTACAATTGTTTTAAAAATTATTGAAGATATTCATTTTACCGCCTGTGAAAATATTACACTATGAAAAATTTAATGCAAGTCATGCGACCTAGTCACGTTTATTAATTTTACTTATATTTATATTAAGAGAAAACTATTATTTTCGGCAAGTTAAATTTCGCGCTAATAGCGAAGAGAAAAAGATCGACTATTTTGATCACGTGACCTTCCGAAACTGATTTCGCTTCAAGTCCATGATAGAGTTGGCTGTGGTTGCAATTTGGGTGGCCAGTAGTGTATTTACGTATTAATTTTGTAGCATCTAACCATCAACTTCCGAATGATGATAAATATTCTGTTTTATGCCTGAGAAGATACTTAGTGTCAGTAAGAAACCATAAAAACACGCTTTGATTAGATAAGTAATGAATTTAATTACTGAATTTTTAAAATAAAGACAAGTGTTATTAGAATTACCAGAAAACTTTAATATTACTTAAATGTTTCAATCATTCCCTAAATAGCTTGTATATTTAATAAAAAGAAAAGCATCTAAGGAATTATAGCCACCTTTCCTAAGAAACCTTTTAACAGAATAAGTGTAAATAAAAGAACTGTCTTTCACCTCTGATATTCACAGGGCATCAATGTTTCAGCGGTACTGTTTTTTACTTTAATTACAAGCATGTTAATTCAGAAAGATTGTTGAAATTTTATCAGAAATTAATGGCATTCCAATTTACAGAAATGAGCAATCACATAAAGCATTACAAATCAAATTGTAATACTTTAACACCTCTGCATTTATTAAAGGCATATTTACTTTTCTTTTACAGGAAAAATTACTTCATATTAATCTTTTGCTGTGAATGTAATTTTCTCGATAATTCATTAAATTTAGAACAAATAAATTTTAAATCTTAGTGAAATTATATGTGAAACTGTACTTATCTTTTGTATAATGTAACATGAAATGCTTGAAAAAAGGTTTGCCTCAGAAATAGTTAATATAATACTGTAGTTTAGTCCAAAATAAATAAGGCCTTAAACTAAACTCAGTGGCGTAACAACTCTAATGTGCCAAGGCCTGCTGAGCCCAAAACCTGCTTTCTTGACCGTGGGCCCCGGGGTGCGTAAGCATATGCCCTGAACAAGTGGTCAGCTTGGTCGCAGAACCCCCAGTGTTTAGTCCTCAAGCGAACTTGGTACTCATTTTATTGAACCGAGTGATGAAAATCAAGGGATGAAAGGCTGAGTCGACCTTACCCAGCCCGAGAATCGAACCCCGGACATGTGGTGCGGCTGAGCGCCTCTAAGTGACTATGTAAATTAATTTTTTTTTGTACTCAAATTTGTCGAGAAATAGCTAAAATTTCCTAAACTTAGCAACCATTTGGCGGCACTTTGGTCCGGTCACTGTATAACTGTAATTGATACCTATATGTAACTGTAACTGTATCCCGGCCTTAGATGCAAGGTTACAGCAACTTCGAAAGATGGAAGGTACTACAGTTCGTCTATCGTAAGAAAAGCTCTCGCCAGTTAGTCTGCAGGTGCCTGTTGCCACAGAAACGAGCTTGACCCATTTTCCGTAGGGATGTCTTGAAGATTTACTTTTCAGTTTGCCATCTTGGTGCATTTGAAGATGAATTGGCAACCCTTTGTTCGCTCCCATTTGAAATATACCATCCCTGTCGATATCAGGGATAAATAGAAAGGGCTAACTCATTCCTTTGTTCAACTCCTCGCCGACGCGAGCTAAGGGCGGGACTTTAACGGCAGTAATCGATGTCACTTGATGCACCCGTTCTGATTTCTAGTGTTTAAAACTTGTTTCATCAGCTGCGAGACGATTTCTAGAGGTTACATATCCCAAATAATTTAATTATATATATTTGTTTTCTAATAATGTATATATTTAAAATAATTTATATATATAATTTTTAGTCAGTTTTATTTTAAATTCTATATTGTAAAGTACGTTTATGTAATATGGCTTTTTGCGCTGTAGTAACGTGCTGTAACACTTACAGAAGTACGAAATGATGACACATTTTATTTCATGGGACCAAAGGACCCACATGAGAATTTGCTTTTGACGAAAGATTGGATACACAAATGTCAAAGACAATATTCTATTAGTGTGAAGAACGGAAAAATCTGCAGCGAACATTTTCTATGCAGTGTTTATGAAGATATGAAAAATTGCTTGTTTGGATAGCCACAAAAAGAAGCTGTTGAAATGTAATGCTGTGTCGAAAGTAAATTATGATGACAATAATAAATCAAGTGTTAATGATTTTGAAATAAAATTCACAAATGAAAATGTAGATATTCCTGAATGCCCTAAGTTTAAGGATAAACAAGAATGCATTGATAATTTGAAGAACCAAATAATATCCTTAGAAAATTGTATTAAAGTATTGAAAAATAGAGAAAAGAAATATTTTAGAATGTCTGTTCAGCGGCAAAGAAAGTGGACGACATCTAGAAAGAAATTGGTATCAGAAATTAAAATCTCAAATAGCGAAATTTCGTTGGAGGGGGGGGGGAGCACAAATCGTAGAATTTGGAAAAACGTCTAAAGCCTATTTTTACGTATAAAGACGCAGATTAATGCATTGCTGAAAAAGAAGGAAAAAAACTCGGGTGGACTAGTGAAGATATTTCACGCTGCATTGTCATAAGAGCTCTGTCATCTTTAAGCTATGATTTTTGGAAAGAAAAAAAATTGGAATTCCTTTACATAGTATTAGCAAATTAAAAAAATGGTGCGCTAAATTTTAGTGTAGTCCAAGAATTCAAAGTAATGTTCTCACTCTAAAGAAGTAAAGATGCAAATATTTGATTTCTGTAGAAAAAATATGCGTTCTCAGTTTCGACGAAATGTATATAGATTGAAAACTCTGCTATGACTCTAAACTGGACCAAGTTCTCGGTTCTTTTCAAAATGTGCAGTTTGTTTTAATCAGAGGTCTTATTTCGCACTCTGCCTCAAATTACTGAGAAACCACGTTTTAGATAAAGGATTTGTTTTAGAAGATTGCACTGTTTTAAATTTTGATATTATTAAAGAGGTTTTAAATAGAGATTCAGAAGAAATCAAATTGTGTCACAATTTGATTTGTTTGATTGTGTCACAATTTGTTTTGTCACAGGAATTGTTTTAGAAGATTGCACTGTTTTAAATTTTGATATTATTAAAGAGGTTTTAAATAGAGATTCAGAAGAAATCAAATTGTGTCACAAACTAAAACCGAATTATTTAAAAGTTAAGGGAAACGAGAAACAAAAATTCTCTCCAACGAAAACATTATTTTCAAAAACTACCGCAAAAGGTATATTCCACCTCACAGGAAATCAAAAATAATTTGACTTCTGTGAGTTAATCGATAATATCTTCGGTATAATGAATAGTACCAACAAGAATAACAAGTACTTAACAAACTAATTTTGTTAAGTTCTTGCTAAAGTTATTCTTATTGTATCCTTTGTAACTAATTGATTCGATTTTGCGCTAGATTAGTATTCTAAATAAAATATAGTAGTATAAAACATCAAATTGGCATAAAAAGACCTGCCTCCTTTACTCACTTTTGAAAAATTTAATAACCGTTTTAGGTACTGTGAGTAAAGCTATTTTGTCAAAATTAAGATAACAATCTTATATTTATTTAATTGTAATATAGATGTAAGTATAAATTACAAAATTATTTTAAAAATATCCATTATTATATTGAATAGGAAGGGAAATATGCTAATGTAAAATTTACAATTAGGCAAAAAATCAAATGTAGATTAGCAAACATTTTGCCGTATATGTCATATATGTTTAAAACGATGTCAATGTATAATAATAATGTACGTCTCTTTAATAAATTCTTTTTCGAGTAAATTTAAATAGCTGCTATTATAGTTATTTTAGAAGTGGTATAAAAATTCTCTCAGTTAGCATGCAGATAAAGAAATGATTATAAATAAACGTGCATTACTAACTATTAATAAACGTGATTATAAATAAACGTGCAAACCTGCAAATAAAAAAGAAATACCACGGAACTTTGTGAAAAGAGTAGCACATTTTATCTATTATTTTAAAAGTGAATAAGTATTATTAATTTTTTTAATGATTCAGTGGGAAATGCATACAGCAGTAACATTGTCTCTTCCAAATTATAGCTATCTTTCACACTCAGCTCATTTTAAACGCTGGTTCAAAATCGCTGATTTCTAGGCTGTGAATTGCATCTCCACGCTCAGTGTCATCATAACTACGTCATCACTTCTCACTTTCTGCTTCAGTGGGCATAGAGCTTTCCCCACTGATTTCTAAGAGCTCTTCTCTTCTAAGTCCTGTGTCGATGTAGCAACCACCACCCTCCAGACACCGTGGCAGGATCTGTTCTTCTCGTAAACAGACAGTAGAGATTTCTTGGTAGTCAGATGAAGACTGTACAAGACCGCAGAGAGCAGGATCTGCTCGCGGTTTTTTTAGCCGACGTAGGAGTATTGAAATCTCTTTGCGAGCTTCGCCTTTATTTTGCGTTTAACGTTCTTAGTAATTTTAAGTGTAACTATTGATTATTCTCTGTGATACTGAGAAGAGCTGTGAAAGTTCTAGAAATGTAAAGTGTTTCTTTTGCGAAAATAAATTTATCAAGTTATAATTTCTGAGTGCATTCAATCCATTATGAATCCCTACGCACGTAACTGTATCAATGAAAAGGACTGATTATTTTCCCTGCCTTACATCATTTAATATTTCACACACTGCGTTTAATATTTGAATTGCTATATTTTAATGAACTGTCTGAATGAATGTGTATAAAAATAAATACACAGATTTTGTTACAGAAAGCTTTTATTTGTTAATTTATAAATTTTATATTCTTCCAAATTTCCATTTCACATTTCCTGTAGTACTTAAACATACTTACATAACTAAAACTAAAGATACAAGATCTCCAAAATATGATTCTTGTAATCAAAAGTTAACACACTTTTTTTCATTTTTTCCAGGAATAAAATATATTTGTAAGAATTAAAACGTAGCTGAAAGAGAACTTCTAAAGCTTTCATTATAATCAATATTTACTGCTTCTGTAACTTTTCACATAAACAATCTACAGCCAGCTGCAATGAAACTCGAACAACTTTTATCAAGTTAAGAAACAATGACATACATTAACAAATAAATATGAGGCAACTATAGCTTTCTGAATCAAGTGCACAGCACAGTAAAACGGTAAAAGTTTTTTGCGATTATGTTGCTACAAATTTTTTTATTAATGTACTTAAAAGATTAAACGAGCGATTTTTAATGCATTATTATCAACAGCAATTTTATTTTATTTTCTGTTTCAAATTAAAAATTGTAGTCTTCATAAATTATAATATATATTTGGAATTAAGCGTAGATGTTTCTGCTTTTATTCTGAATCAGAAGAAAATCAAAAAGTTTTAGAAATTAAGTAACTTCCAGAGCTTTGAAACAAAAAGGAGAAACATTACGTAGGAATGATTTAATCTGATACAGCACAAAGTGTTTATTTAGAAGTTACCACAAATCATCCATCAACTTAATATTTCTTACTGAAATCTTCAAAGATCAATGATTTGGTTTTTAAATTTAATTGTTTGAATTTTCTACAGAATCTAGGGAAACATTTTGTACAGACACTGCCACTGTAACAGCTAAACAAATTAACAAAAATCTCTTCTTTTGAATCATCTGCATTTATGTACGTTACACAGACAAAACAGTTTATTAAACTTAGCAAAAGAAATTCACATGGAGAAACAATGAATTCATGGTGTCCATGGCACAGTTCATTTCATCCCTGGAACAAAATTTAGTCTTCTTTAACAGCTTCAGTTTCTTGCTGATGCTTGTTAAGAATCAGGCTGTTTAAATTTTCTTTAACAGCTTTAGCCTCTTGCTGACGCTTCTTGTAAAGCTCGCTGTTTACACCGGTTCTTGCTTTGCGACCTTCGATAGCTCCTTTCGATGCAGTCTTGAGATCATAAGCTAGACCCAAAAAGGCCATGGTGTTAATAAAAGCTGTTGTTAAGTTGTATTTTATACCATATTCACTTGTAGCATAGTCGTAAGGAAATGTGTGGTGGTAGTTGTGAAATCCTTCGCCAACAGCTCCCAAGACAGTTAGGGCATTTTGTCGTGGATTGATGGTGATATCATATGGCTGGGTACCCCACATGTGGGCAGCGCTGTTTACCAGCCACGTCTGGTTGAGGGTGAAGCACAAGCGGAAAAGGGTAGCAATCAAGAATGAGTTCAAGAATGTTTCTCTCCAGCAGTACATTGGAATGAGAGTCGGTATCACGAAACAGCAAGGAACCACTAATTTAAGGTAATGTCTAAAAGAGAAAGTATTATAAAAATGTGTTTATCGCATTTATAGCCAATTATTAAAAATATTAATTTGTTAAACATTATTACTGAAAGACACAAAATATTATTTCTCTTAAGTGATTAGGCAGATTTTCAGATCTAGACTGTTTGCATGTTGAATTTTAATGAAAATTCTAATTCTAAACCAATTGCAAAATGCAGCAACGGGAGAATGCCGTGCTTCATTACATTCAGGTTCATCACATCCAAGTTTTGGAAAATAAGGATGCAATGATAGCGGAAAAAGAAGTACACTGAGATGACAAAAATCATGGGATATCTCCTAATATCGTGTCGGACCTCTTTTTGCCCGGCGAAGTGCAGCAACTCGACGTGTCATGGACTCAACTAGTCGTTGGAAGTCCCCTGCAGAAATATTGAGTCATATAGCCTCTTAGGACGTCTATAATTGTGAAAGGGTTCCCGGTGCAGAATTTTGTGAGCGAACTGACCTCTCGATTATGTCCCATAAATGTTCAATGGAATTCATGTTGGGCGATTTAAATGGCCAAATCATTCGCTGGAATAATGTAGAATGTTCTTCAAAACCAATCGTGAACGGTTGTGTCCCGGTGGCATGACGCATTGTCATCCATAAAAATTTCCTCGTTGTTTGGGTACATGAAGTCTATGAATGGCTGTAAGTGGTCTCCAGGTAGCTGAACATAACCATTTCCAGTAATGATCGGTTCGGTTGCACCAGAGGACACAGGCCATGCAACGAAAGAACAGCCCACACCATTACGGAACCACCACCATCTTGCACGGTGCCTTGTTGACAACTTGGGTCCATGACTTCGTGTGGTCTGTACCACACTCGAACACTACCATCAGCTCTCAGCAACTGAAGTCGCGACTCATCTGATCAAGCCATGGTTTTCCAGTCTAGGCTCCAACCGATATGGTCACGACCCCGAGAGAGGCGTTGTAAGTGATGACGTTCTGTTAGTAAAGACATTCTACTTTGTCTTCCGCTGCCATAGCCCAAAGCCAAATTTCACCGCACTGTCTTACACGTCCGTCGTACGTCCCACAGCGATTTCTGCGGTTATGTGACGCAGTGTTGCTTGTTTGTTAACACTGACGATTCACGTCGCCGGTCTCGCTCATTAAGTGCAGGCGGTGGGTCACTACATTGTCCATGATGGGAGGTTATGCCTGAAATTAGATATCCTTGGCACACTGTGAAACTCTGAATGTTGAATTTCCTAACCATTTCCAAAGTGTAATGTGCCGTGCGTCTAGCTTCAACTACCATTCAAATTTCTGATAACATAATATAAGCTTGTTTATCTAACATTATGGCAAATTTTATGTTAGGTAAACCAGTCTTATATTATGAACATGAATATTAATAAAGAACCCCACTAATTTTAAATCCCATAGAATAGAATTTGCCTGAAACGAAAAAAAAAAAAAAAAAAAAAAAATTATCTGAAGCTCACAGTAAGCTTTAGCATGAAGAGACGTTAATATGGATATCAATATATATAAATAGCTCTTTCAGCGCAAAGTGGTAATGCTGTTTAAAAAATAGTTGTTCTGAATTCTACTACGGCAAATACATTACTTAGAATGGGTGTGAAATGCCAAGATACGTTTCGAAACAGTAAAACGGAATTTGTTACTTAAAAATAAATTACATTGTACAAAAATACACCTTTTGATATTTTCTCAAAGTATAAAAATATAACCAATAAAATCAGTTGACAAATGAATTGCGACTAAGCATTCGAAGGCAATTAGCTTAGGGAATAATGTCTTCATGGATGATCTTTTTAAGTGAAACTACCTTCTATTTATACACAAAACTTCAAAAATTTTATTTTTCAAGTCAGTATGAAATTTAAGATTGATAGACCTATTCTGTACGGAAAACTATGGATGTTTCGTGTAACCTGTCCGCTCATTCATTAGGTATAGATCCCAGGGCGAGCTAACATTTTCGGGGTTTTAGCCACTGTTCGGAAATGCGTGCTCATTGTAATAAGAGTCCAATTAAACAATCGAAATAATTTAACGTAATTAATATTATTCATAAGTACTAGACAAATAAAAACAGCTATTCTAAAATAAAAATATACCCTTTCTAAATAATAAAAAAAGCTTACAGCCATCCAAACTTACTTTCTATGGAATCTAACAACAGGATCGGCCATAAGGTCACTTAAATCTATGGCCTTTCCTCGCTTGATAACATCGGGGTGCTTTCGACATAAAAGCCAACCAATGTGGGCGAAGAAGAAACCTCGTTTTGCATTGTGTGGGTCAGCGTCAGTTTCCGAATATTTATGGTGAACTCTGTGATCTCGAGCCCATTCATAGATGTCATTCTGGAACAGAAAGGCAAGTTAACGGAATTTAATGTATTTTTGAACCCCCATACATGTATCATGAAATTTGTAGAATCAAGGCGCATACAAGATCTTATTGCTGTCATAATTATGTTGCAATAAATATATAATATTTCTTAGAACTCAGTGTTTTAATTTTGAATGAAAAAATGTACAAAACAAAGTATATTCTATAAAGAAATACTTTTATTCATGGGAAATATTTTTTGCACTCGGACATTGGTACGCAACAAATGGGCGTTGCTATTTGTTAATTCAATAAATTAGTTAAGCATAAAAATTATGATTCTCAAATGCAAAATAGGACTTTTCTCAATTCATTCTCAGTATGTAGCAATGCAAATTCCATCTTACAAAAAAGTCGAGGATCATCGATCATGAATTAGGAGATAAGATATTTTTTCGGTTGCAGCCGAAAACATCGCAGCAAAACCATCGCAGATGAAAACGTAGCGGAGAAACAACGCAAGGCGAAAATGTCGTCGAACGAAACATCGTGGGAGAAATGAAAGCAAAGAGGTAACATCGCAGTTCTAAAACATTGTGGTACAAGTACCGTCGCCAAAAATAAAGCGGTTGTAAAACTTTTCGCAGTTTAAGAACATCATCGTTGAAAATAACAGTCTTAAAAAATTAAGCACTTACAAATCATTGCATGACGATAACATCGCAGACATGCGTTTTCCATGGTTTAAAAGTTATCGTGCGCTCACAAATCATCATGCATGTTCGCATAATGATTTGCGAGCGCACGAAGGAAAGAGAAATATTTTCACTTTTATATTTCAGTTTTGAATTAACCAATAATTTTTTGATTAAAAAGTAAGAAGGAAAGAAACTTCAGCATTTAAAAACTGAAAATGAGTAGAAAATTAATGCAACTTATAACACTTAATTTTAAACTTACATAGTTAAATAACAAAGAGCACTAATAAATTAATTGTATTTTATAAAGTTTTACTGGTAATTTTCCATATGAAATATAGTCTAAAAGAGATTAAAAAAAATCACAAATCATTTTGCGAATATGCATTTACAGCATTTATGCCCTGGGAAACGCATGCCTGTGATATTATCGTCATACGATGGTTTGTAAGCGCTTTTTTTTTTAACCACGATATTTTAGGCGACGATGTTTTTAAACTGCGAAGTTTTTTAATCTGTTTACTTTCGGTGACGATATTTTGGAACAGAGATGTTTTTCTTCGCTTTCTTTTCTCCTACGATGTTTTATATGACGTTTTTGCCTCGCGTTGTTTTCTCCTCGATGTTTTCGACCACTATGTTTTTGCCGTGATGTTTTCGATGGACACCACTTTTTCATACAGAATGAAAACATTCCGAGGGAAAATATTCAACTATTAAAACGTAGCGAAACAATAATTTTGATGAAGGTTGGTAAAGATTTGTTCCCAACAAGGTGGGTGGACAAATCAAGCGTTTCTTTGCCAGGAGGCCCTCATCTTATTCAGAACTCGGAGTATCTCATAGCGAACTAAGGACATCAGAGTATAATGTTGAAAATTAAACATTTGTGATGTTTAGCAGCTGTGGTAAAGGATTACTGCAGCCAAGCGTAGTAAAAAGTTCACAATTCAGTGGACCTATAACAGTGCCGAATATGATATTGCGATCTATGCAGAAAGTAGAAGCTACCAGAATCTATAAATGTAATATAAAAACTTCGAAAATTTTAATATTTTAGCATTTTGCTTTGCTTTGTCGCTTTTGAGTACTATCATAATCTGGGCGTTCTTTTCGATGATATTGTGTAAAAAAGTCTTATGGAATATGCTGGTAGAATTTCAGCAATTATTTTATGGAATATGTTGGCATAAATTAGCATAACTTTTAAACATTGCAAAAGCAGTCATTAGCTATTACCTCTGTAAATGCTCAAAGAATAACAGGATATTAAAAAAAAATGATTTCGTCAAGTATCTGAAATTTTCGATTTTTGTGGATACCCACAAAATTTTAATCTTATTTCATATACTTACTTCGAAAGCAATTGTGTATACAAATGCCAGAAGTATTCTCAGTGGAAGTCTTGCTTTGTAAGATCGATGAGACCACAATCTGTGTGCTCCAGCAGTAACACCCAAACCGGACGTGATGTACAAAAAGAAGGCTGCAAAAGTATTTACAAATTTATTTGGAAGAATTTAACTTTCATTTTGATTTAAATTTCAAGCTTTTGAGATACTTTTAAAGAGTAGAATATCGGTATATATTTTCCTTACAGAAGAATTTCTCAAAGTTACAAAAGAATGCCATCCTAATGATTCTTTTTCAACGCGATTGATAATGAATTTCCCATAGGAATAGCAGTAATCTTTTCAGCTGTGTACCGTGAGGTTTAAGTCTGAGAAGCCGATCACAGCAGCTGAGTAGGGGAAAACCGAAATAAAGTAACTGCTATCTATGCATAAAAACGGAAGAAAAAAGAGCTAACGTGTTTCATAATATAACTGTGTAACAGTAATAAATGTTTTTGTGGCTTTTACATGCGTGTTAAGCCTCCTTTCAATGAGAAAAAGCTGTTCAAATAGCGTATTTTTGAAAAAGAACTTTGAAAACAGAATATGGAACCTCACACAAGCATGCAGATAATAAAAGAATATGCATCAACATCTGTAAAGAAAAAAATATGAATTCTGAAACATTAAACTTTTCAGCAAATATCAGTACAACTACATGAGAAAAATAAACTCGAAACAATATGTGCGTAAAACTTTATATTCTAAATACCAAATAAATAATCTGCTTAGAATGAATAAAATATATAAATCCTAAGGTCATTAAGAGATCTAATTAAAATAATCTTCGATGCCCTTTTTCTACCTTTCAGATTTTTCTAATTTGTTTTCAGATCCAGAAGCATGGCAGTGAATTTCAAAACAGGCTCTAATTACTCAGTAGACTCACAGAAGATGGAGTCTAGGACCCCATTTATTAAGAGCTCTCAAAATCATTCTATAGTTACTCATAATCTTGTTCTTTTCTCATAGGTTTGGTTTGATAGATTATAGTAAAGCACACTAAGGCTTTTTTCTAAGGGAAGGAATGCCTTCATAAAAACTTTTCTAAGGGAAACTGACTCGTATACTTTCTCCACATGAACAAAACCACGAAAACGGCCATGCAGTTAGCGCGTTTTCCTGGAATAGAACCCAGGTGGGAAACGCCAGTGTTCAGGGATTTTACCGCTCAGCCGCTGGAGGGCTCCTTTTCTGATAGGAACAATAGAAGTGAACATAGGAGGCCCTTGAAAAAGTTTTCTCACAAGGTCTCAAATTGCCTTCTGAGGGCCTTACAATTGATCACGAAAAGTAGGGAAGAGATGAGATGGATACAAATAGTTTACATAAGGAAAAAAATAGTATAAATATACAAAATTAGCCAATATGGTAGTGTTCGATTAAAGGATAACTGAAAAATGTTAACAGCACAAAGACAGATTAAGTTCCCCTGATTGTAATTATTCATGGTAATTATATCTTACTGAACACAATCACCGCCGTAGAAATATTTATTAACAGAATTTGCAGATGTGGCAAGCGCGAACAAATCATTAAAATTTACATATCAATAATTGCGTACATTTCTTGGTTAAGTGTAAAATTGCAAGTTTGGAAATAGACGTTATTATCAGAGGTGGTGACTGATCAGTAGATTTAGAGGCTCCAAGAAAACCGAATTCTTCCTCCAGTGTCATGAATTTAATTAGAATTATAGGAATTCAATCTCAAAAGCTTGAAATTTAATTAGGATGATGATTTGTTTTACTTAGTTTTTGAATTACGAATGTATGTAATAATAAAACATTTCTTTACAACTCTATATTTAAATACGGATAAGGCAAAATACACAATTACCATTATTTTTCATTCAACGAGAACTTATGAGATTTCACATTAAGACTATTCAATTAATATAAAAGGATATTTCATAAAATTTCTAGGTATACAAATCTTAAAATGCAGGAGAAACGAAAATGTCCTTTACTGCCTAACTAATTAAATTATTTTAACCACCCGTATATATTTAATGTTTCATGTCCGAGAAAACGCATTAAATCTGAGTATTGTAGAAAGTGCAATCATACTTTGATGCTTCGAATAAAAAATATCGGAAAAGGATACTCAAAATTCAATCTAATTACAGTCATAAAACTTTTGGTACTACTGTATTATCGCAACCACCTTGGTAGAAGTCTCCAGATTTTCCAGAAGAGCCAAACTGTGGCAACAATGCTCATAACAATTATTAAGGTAACGATAACTAAGTGTGAATAAGCAACGTCGGCATTTTCGTACGTACTGTGTTGGTTGTATTAGCTCTAAAAGTAAATTGCTATATTTTTGGTGTTCAGCTGAATTTTGAAATATGCGCTTGTGAGATTTGCCTGTAAACAAAGTTCGTTCTGTGAAATTCTTGCAGGAATATTTTGCCATACAGGTTCGAATGTTTAGATTCACATTTGATGTTGTATTTTGGAAACCAACTTTTTTGGAAATGTGACGTGGAAAAAAGTAACAAACACATCGACATTTGCAGCGGTAATTGGTTCGAGAATTGCCTGCTGTTTACTACAGCAGACAGATTTATATACTGCCTAGTGTATAGAATTGAGTGGTTTCCCATTGCTTTTAACCTATTCTTAAAGCCATTGTTACGAAATTTCTACCGGAAGAAAAGAAACAAAAACCTACTTGCAAGTAGTTTCATAAATTGTTTTCGGGGATAAATACCGAACTAAAATTAAAACATAAATAACTTGAAATTACTATTTTTTTTTTCTTATTAAAAAAATCGCTAAGTTGCGCGAAGGTGGTTGCGATAATATCAAGTACCAAATGCTTTCGCCCACTAGCAGCCGGTAAAGTTGCTGAACACTGGCAGTTCCAAGCTGGGTTCGATTCTAGGCTAATGGGTTGGCTGCATAGGCGTTTTACAGGTTTTCCCCATGTGTAACGTGTATATGAACCAGTTTCTCTAAGAAAGTCCTCTACAAAAGTATCCTTCCCTTGAAGCAGATAGCCCTCTAGTGCTTTGCCATAATCAAATACACCATCGGAGAAATTCTTATCGAAGATTGGTCATAATAATGCAAGTGTATTGCGACTAATTATATGAAACTTTCAAATGAAATGGGGGGGGGCGGGCGGGACTTGCTATTTCCCTTTCCGCTTCCAATACTGCTGATATACATATTTCTGCACCCTTCTCTCAAACATTTTCATGTAAATAATAGATTATCAAGCTCCACGCTACAGATATATATTGGGTTGAAACATAAATAATGGCCTTTTATGTTGTGTTTAAAATTACGCGGTAAAAATAAAATATATTGGCCCAATGCTTTGTGTTATTGGAAAGAAAATCTTTCCCAATTTTTTTTTTTTTTTTTTTGCTAAATTTGGGAAAGATTGTAGCCAAATTGTTTTGTCTGAGCTAATTTTTGTTATTTTTCAGGTCATTAAAATGAAGTGTAAAGTCGGCAAAAATAAGCATTTTAGACAACTTTTTGCGTTTAATCGAGGCGCCAGTGCTGCACAAGCTGCCCGAGAGATTTGTGAAGTGTATGGAAAAGGTTCAATGCCTGAACGAACTGAAAGAAATGGTTTGGTTTTGCCAAATTTAAAAATGGAAATTTTCGACCTCGAAGACGCTGCTCGTTCCGGACGACCAAATGAGTTTGATGAAGAGCGTTTGAATCAACTTCTGCACGAAGACGCTCGTCAATACTCGAGAATTAGCTGAACGAATAGGTTGTAGCCAAATGACATATAGTTCGACATCTTGGGTCTATGGGGAAAATCCAAAAACTCGGATATTATTGACCAATTTATTGGTCTTTTTGTTTTGCTAAAATAAAAATTTTTAAGTTAAAAAGTGGCCATTACTTATGTTTCACTCCAATATTTTAGGACTATTTGAAAATTATATTTCCTTTCTCACTTTGGTATTTATTGATTATCCGAGTCACATTTGCTTGGCGATAATGTTTTGACGCTGATAAAAATTACTCCAGTGACTATCGGTGATGCTAACAAACTCCTGGATTATGGCCAAATCCGCGAGGGATATCAGCCTATGGAATGTATGCCTTAGTAAGAGAGGTGGCTTCCATTGGCTCGACATTTAAGAGGAAACTGATCCGTATTGACGTTATGCAAGGGTTTAAAGTATGAAAACTCCCACGCAGCCAGCCTGTTCACCGAGACTTGATGGTGAGTCGAACTCTCAGTGTCCAATGGTCTAAGCGCTCGGTCGGTGGTAGGTACCAAACTCTTAAAACAGGTATAAGCATCTTGTCGATTCGGGAGCAAATTCTGTTAGCTAAACTGGCTTGACATTATAATTAAATGTGTAGTTGTTAAACTGGAGGGAAAGTGGGGAGCGAAACTGCTGTACTGGAAGGTAAGAAAAAGTATACGGGGGGGGGATATACCTTTTACAGAAAAAAAATTCATCTAAAATTGATCCATCATTTTTAGTAATTAGTAGTAGAAACTATGGAGCATAAACCTGTAGAGTTTATGCGTCAGGCACTAGTCGTGGTTGATTAAAGGATTTTAAGTAAGTTGTTTGAAAAGCAATAACGAAGTGTGAAAGAGAAATCAAAAAGTATGATTATGTTGCCTCGGTAATAGGCACCAGCATTCTAAAATTATTAAAAAAGTAACTCACCGAAAACATTGGTCTGCCACTTGGCAGAGACAAACATGAGGTACAGTCCATACAAAGCTGCTAGATGAAGGTAGGCGAACAAGATGACGTTTCTCCATACGATCTTGACTGGAGAGGATTCTCTGGAAGAGGGAGATGCGGTTTCCAAGGTGACATCTCCATTGACTTCACCTTTTCTATTGGCATCCTGGGATTCCGCTTCGGCGTCGCAAAAATCTCGGATTTGCTCAGAACTACCTGCTGTATCGTCACTGTTATCTTCCTCTCGTTTCACAGCTACAGCAGGTTCAGCAACCGTCTGCGTAACGTTTGTGCAAGATAAGGGAGGCATTTTGTGAAGCGCGGTACAAAGATGTGCTGAAAAAAAGAAAAAAAAAAGTCAGTACACTGAAGGTCTGAGAAATACATTGCACGTTCATCGATACATACTAGGAGCTTCAAATACTCTGAGTGAGACCACAATTGGGGGCCTATCGGGATAACAGGGTAGTGAATACAATGAAGCCTAAGACAACCACTTATGGTTTTAGATGGTTTTTGCCTTTTGGGAAAGTGGTCATTTTAAAGAAGTGACATTTAGTACTGATATTTACTCATATTCCTTGAAATACTCGTCACTTTCAAAAGTGAATATAAAAAGTTTACCATTGCATTTGTTTTCTGTAGGTAAAATATGTGTTTATAGTAATTTTAGCAGGATAATTTTTTATTTCATATTTTACTGTAGCAGACATAATAAATATATTTTCACATTATAGACATATATTTAAGAACAAGGAACATTTTCTTGAATATTAAATCTTATTCAGGAATAAGGAAAGTATTTAAAAAATAATAATAATAAAAAAAAAAAAAAAACTCCAGGCAACATACATCAAAAGCCAAACAGAAAACAACTTTAGCTACGCTGTATACTGCATGACAAAATTTACTCGTGTGGAAAAATAGCTTGTTAAAATCTTACTTTTGCTTACATTTATTTTTTTTGGGGGGAATGAAATACTTGTTACAACTAAGCAGTAACTCCAACAGCAAGCAAAGAAAAAAAAACTGCATACAACGCGTAATGTTTTCATTTCAATGTTAATACCTGCAAATTTTAGTAAACACATAGCCTGTCACATTTGCAATCGTCTAAATTTGAGTTTCTCAAACACATATACTATGTTTTATTTATTACGTTACTTTTAAAAAATTGAAAGGAAGCGAAGAAATCAAATTTTACTTGAATTAGAAGGAACAAAGATCCAGATAACTCGAGTACTTCATAACTGCATTTAGTACACTTGCATTTTAAGGAAGCTAATTCCTTTAAAAAGTTAATTATTTCTCTTTTATTTTGAAGATGCAACAGGACGTATTTCTAAAAGAGAAGCATTAAATGAGGCTGGCTACATGGGCGTTTTCGTGGTTTTTCCCGTGCGTAACATGTATACGAGCCAGTTTTCCTTAAAAAGTTCTTCACGAAGGCATTTCTCCAATTAGGCAGAATATCATGCCATACCACAGTATAAAATGACTATGTCAAACAGTATGGGTCTGGTTTGTTTGACTACGGCAATGTATGCAAGGGGTATCTGCAAAAGACGACGGATGGCTTCCTGGAGGACATCCCAAGGTAAACTGGCTCGTATCTTTTTTAGACATGGGGAACCACAAAAACGCGTACACAATCAAATTGCTCTCTGTGACTTGAGCCCGGGGCCGACCTACCAGTGTTCCGGGACTTTTGGCCGCTGGTGAGCCTGATCAAATAGCATAGGAAATTGGATATTTAAAAAGTATATAAAATCTCTCTTGCCCTTCCTTATCTTAAAATATCAAAATTATTAAAAACAAAACATTTAAAAATTTCATTCTACAAATTAAATTGCATGACAAACTACAACTAAAAATAGTATTAAAGACACTAAAAATATATACTGCCTTGTGAACCCAACCTTTTAAATCTCATTAACCATGATATGTAGGTTTTATGTTCTAGCAAAAGATTAATTGCCTATAATTAAGGAAAAAGTATTCTCTTCGGAAAACAGTCAATACGACTTCCTTCCTCTTAATTCTTCGGTGAAAGGATTTCAGAAGAAATTGAGCAGTAAATTTGAAACTATTGCCTTCTTGAACAGCTAACGTGCCGGCAAATGAAACGTTAATGAAATTAATTAAGCAATCTTTATAAGTGTTTCTCTACGCATTTTAATTTTTTGCGCGACATTGGAAAAGGTTGAATAAGTTTCACAGGTTGTTTGTGTAAAATCTTATAAAAGTCTAGGATAGCATTAAATAAATATGTAGCCAAAAAAGGAAATTTATATAAACAACCTTTTCATTTTTTATACTAATGTTTTATGTATTCTATACTTTATACCACATAACCCATATATATCAAAGCAGGCTACAAGATGTATCAGCCTATAGGAAACGATATCTTTCTAGAGGATTTTATTTAGGTTATTTAATGGAAAAAACGAGAGCTGTCTATATAACAGAAGGGTTACCTTTATGAAAAAACTTTAAGAGACACTGGCTCGCCTTCACGTTACATATGGGAAAGCCATGAAATGGCAGCCAGTTCATTGGCAGAAATTTGAAGTTAGATCCAACCACCAACATTCAGTAATCTTATCCGCTCTACGGGAATAAAACCACGAGAACTATCAATGTTACGCGACGTTCTGTTCTTGTCCACCGATTAGCTTCCGTGTGTATTTTTTTAAGCAGTTACTTATCCGTTGGTGTGAAACTAAATATTTCATTTCGTCGAAATGTCAAAACTCTTTTCTAATTTTATTGTTTACAGTTTTTAGTTTTTTAAATTTTAGATTTTAAAGGAAATTTCGAATTCTTTTACTGCGAATTTCACAGCAATTTATAAAATTAGCAGGAAGCACATACAGCTGAAAGAATTTTCTTTTTCTAATTTAAAATTTATAATGCATGAATAATACAAAATGTTGCTGTAAATTTAAAATCAATGCGAGAAATCTTTTTAAGACTAATAATGAAAGCTTTGATAAAATTAAAACTGTTTAAAAAAAGACGCTTTCGAAAAAAATTAAAATTTGATTATGAAACAAAGGAACCTTATTTTCAGATGAAATACAAAAAAGAGTGCTAAACAAATCATGAAAGCCACAGTATTTATTAAAAATTAAAAGGATTACGTATAAGCTAAAATTTCAACAAATAGCTACTTGAAATCTGATAGACTTTTACCGCAAAACAAAAAAATATTTCATAGCATTCTTACCTGAAACAAATTTGCTCGTACATCAATCTTCGCATTAAATTCGCAGTTGTCAAGAGCTTTAGACTACCATCGGTTAACAAGTTGCTGACACCAATGACGTTGTTAGAAATGACGTGCGAGAACGGATTGCAACCGCAATTTTGTGAACAGTATTAAATAAGCCATTTAATGAAATCAGTTGACCTTGAGCAACTAACTTATTACTCCGAAGTTGAGGCAATTATTCTGCTGATGTCCGACACTTTTTTCAGTCAGTTAATTCTTTACTGAAGATTTAATACTTGAAAAATAAACAAAACAAACCAAGTATTAACCTTTGTGGATGTAATTATGATCTCTCCAAGGTTGCCGCCGAATATTTTTACACTCAAAAAAGATTTCCAACAATGTTCCAGTTAACGTTTCCGAACGATACAATTTGAACTGCTGCATTTCTATCATTGTTTCATTGTTTAACATAGTGCAAATGAGATTATATGAAGATAATACGTTTGGACAATATATATTGCAAAGACAATATGAAATAGACTCGCTACAAAAATATTTGACTCATTTTTCTTTTTTTTTTTTAGTTAAAAATCCATGGACGCTGAAAGCTGTGAAAATAATTAGATCTCTCAAAACATGTTTTATACTATTCATAACACTGGGTGACTAGCGATTAAAGAACGAAATCAAAATTAGTCTCTATTGCACAGTCAATATTTATTGCACAGTCAATATTTTATTAATGATTTTAAATGTAACAAGCATTAGTGCAATGAGAATCATCCTCCCTCTCCCTCCAAAAAAAAAAAAAAAAAAAAGGTCACTGCTGAAAAATGACGTATTAGAGAATGCAATTCAGATACAACAAAAGCTAGTTTTCGGTTTGCTGTTGTGGTAGCTATGGTTTCGGTTCGCTGTTATGGTATATGTGGCACAAATAAAAGAAAATATTCCAGTAACTGCGATATTTACGGCATTAGCAGAACATTTTCACATCTGTCAAATCGCAAAACACTGGCCTGAATTAAAAATTCACCGTTAATAATTTAAAAGAAATTAATCATTTATGTTGCTTAAGCTATTAGAAATTGGAAAATTTGATCACTTTCTCGTGAAATAAACGACGCCATATTTAAGCAGTACAGAATACTATCGGTGTATACAATCCAGTTCTAGTCAGTTTAAAATTTATTAAATAAAAAAAACAAAGAATTAAAAAAATTTTAAATTTTTATTTTATTTGTTAATTTAAGGGCATTCCCAAACCAACGTATTTGTGAAGCAGGTTTATTTAGATTTTCAAAATTAAACGGCTGTAAAGGCATAAACATTATGTTTAACAAGCAACTGTTATTTCATAAACTATATTAAAAACACAGCTGGCGAGTAAAAGAATAAAATGAAAACTGTTTACTTTTTTTACTTTTAAAACTACAATCAACACATTGTGCAACAAGTGTATGAAGTTACGAGTGCGCTAAACTCGTGATTATACAAATTACAAGATGCGTATTTATATCTCCATGTAATTATATGTTCAAGAAATGCAAAGATATGCAACTATACCATTTTTTGCGGTCGATAGGAAAATATATCAGGAAACAAATTGTAGTAATTCAGAAGTCAAACAACAAAAATCAGCGTTATATTTACAAAATTAACGCTGATTTTTGTTGTTTGTTTGTAACGCTGATTTTTGTTGTTTGACTTCTGAATTAGTATTTATTCGGCGTGTTATTGTGTCTTAATTAACAAATTATAGATTTATTAAATTAAATCACCGAAAACATGTCTTCTGCAAAATTATTTTTTCGAGCAAAGATGTGAAAATTCAAAATAATATTCATCATTTTTACTTATTCGAAACATTCTTTGATATATCTTAATAGATTGTAATCATACGCTTAGGCTTCACTAAATTTTAAAAATAAAAGCTGCTATTTGCTATTCGTGCCAAATAAAATCTCTTTCATTCTGCACAAATTTAAAAGCAAGCATTTTTCCTCCTAACTTAAAATTACATGACGCCATGACTAGAAGCATTTAATGTCATTGCTTAAAAAAGTAAACTTGTATTCAAGGTACAAAAAGAAAATACCTTTAAGCTGTTCTCTATAGC